CTGGGTGTTAAGGACACACAGGTTTCAATGGCCCTTCATGAAACAAAATTCTATGATAAACAAATGGAATAATCTACCAAGTTTTAACTCTCTTTTGTTCAATTGTAACTAACATTAATTTGCTCATCTAAAAACTTCACAGCCAAGGGAAAGCGCTGTTGTTCACCAGTGCACTGTTTTCCAGTTCAGGTTCTCTTCTCCAACCACATGAACCATCTTTTCCCACATTAACATGAATCTATCCTGCAAATCTTATACACCCTCAGACACACAAGCAAGTAATCAAGTCTACAATGTCTCCAAGCAATGCAAGACCTCTACTACACAACTGTCTTTTAGACTTCAGTCCTCAAAAAGTCTTAAGAGGAAAAACTCTTACAGTACCAATTTACAGAGTCTTCACTTTTTTCCCTTTCTATTCTAACACAGGCCTGGGGAGAGCTGAAGGGAGAACTCTATCTTCTGTCCTTAAGACTGCACAAGGCTTCAGGCAAAAAGAAGCGTTCCACTGCACACAATGGACTGCTACACAGCTGGGAGATGGAAAAAGCAGCCTTTCCAAGACTCAGTTCAGTCCCTCATCAGAAAGGAGGGAAAATAAGTTTTCAACTTAAAAACTGAAGTACATGTTGTTTCATATATACTTAGGCTGATAAACATGAGACTAGAGCTGAGTCTCTTACGGATTCATATTACTCTGAGGTAAGTAAATGCAAAGTGACTGAGTATCTTGCATGTTTTTCATGCCATGTCTTACATGTAATAACTAAGTCCTTTGGTTAATAACTGAAGCTAAAGAGCCAAATAAGTACATTTGTTGGCCTAGACTAAACTCAGTCTAAGGTCACTGAATTAGAAATTTTCTGAGTCAGAAAATGACCTTCCTTCCCATATCTATACACAAAGCTCTCAATTCATTTCTCCCAAAAAAGGCATCAGATTAAAAATGAGAGCTCTTCTGAAATACTCTTGATTTATTATAGTTCACTCCAAGCAGATTATTTTCCTTTCTTCGTGCTGTATTTCTAAATACAGGAAATATTTCCTTTCTTCCTTTCTGTATTTCTAAACCCTCCCAATGGCCTTCAGGTAATTCTGTGAACTAATCACAGTAATCTCGAGCAGAACAGGCCTACAGAAAGAGCAGAGCATGAACAAGATTTCAGACCATCATCATTAAGTTCCCCTCTGGTGCTCTTGTTATGGCAACAGCATGCTTTCCTAAAGCAGATAAGGATGTTGTGCAGGAAGACAAAAAAGAAAAAAAAGAGAGAGAGAGAAAATGAGGTTGTTTCTGCTGATTCCTTGGAACGCAACTCTCCCAGAAGTTCAGAATTTAAAAATAAAGGTAGAACAAGTCACATGAGCCAGCATTTCAGACATAGAAAAGTCTCTTAAGAGTTCACAAGCCTCCCTTCTTAGTTGGTAAACAAAAAACTTCTCAGTGAAATAATCATTTTAAGGTAGTGGAGGGAAAACTAGAACATGTACCAGGACACTAAATTTGAGGCTCCCCACTGGCATTAATAACTAGCCACACCATACTAGCAAATTACTTAATTTCTTTGGGTCACACTTCCTTTCATTTATAAAATGAAAACGTTAAGTCTCCCATGCTAACCAGAATGTTATAAGTGGCACCAACTGCAGTAAATTTATCTTCCATTGAAGTCAGATGTAACTTCTCAATGAAGAACCAAATATCCCCACTCTTTCAACAGGGAGGTAAAACATAATAAAATACAAGTGCACTTTAATATTTTTTTTTCACTTTAATTTTTTATTTGAATTTACTCCACAAAAACTTTCCTCTTCCTGAATAAGAAAAGTATGTATACAAGGAATCTAAGAGGTTATGTCAAGTATGTATTCATTTCCTCTCATTTCCCAAATCACAAGGTGACAATTTTGAAAAATGTTTCAAGGATAAAACTATATTCTCTCATCCCTAATAAACAGAGTACTCTGAAGGAAGGTGAACAATGGTAAGTTGACTATGGTGTGAATGTCCCTACACAGTATGATCACTTAGCGCATTAGGCATATGAACTGTTATCAGAAACGCTCTAAACGTGTCCAGTAGGTTTCCAGAGTTTGAGAAAGGAAATGTTACTCCCATCTCTTCCCACTAAATAGAGATTTGCCATAGAAACCTACTATCATTTTTCTAAGTGTTTTCAAGTCTGAAATACATGAGTTATCAACTGACCCTATACAAAGTTTTTTGTTTACCAACTAAGAAGCTTATCTACCCCAACCCATCAAGATTTTAAGATAGTTTCCTACTTTTGTATGTGATTCCTTTTGTGCAAAACATTGCACTGGGCCCTCAAGAGTCACTCCAGACCCCTAATCACATTAACTCAGATGGCTGAGGCACCCAATAGCAACCCTGTTACCTTGGTTTGAAGAAATAAAATTACAAGTGGAAGCGAAGGGAATGCAAGACAGATGAAGAAGTCATTAGAGGGTGAAAAACTTCGGAAGCAAGAATAAATAAATCAGCACTAACACCTAAATAGCACTAAATAACTGCAATATAAACTCAATTCAATTGCAACAATGTTATATATCTTGTAAACACATTATATAAGTCTCCCTGTTAAAAATGAAAAGATTACAATGTAGTCTACCAATAACTACAGGTTTACTATATTTGGCCTGCTAAAATGACAATTATTTAAATCGGAAACAAAAAGGTTGTATGTATAGAACTATCTACAGTGATAACTGACAAAGCAGTGACTGGGAATGTTGGGAGGACCGGTAATTAAATCAGTATTTCTGGCAGAATCTTTCCAAGCATTTTAGGAACTAACCCAGAATATGAGACAGGCTTCTATCTTTAAAGCAATGTTTAAAAAAGCATGGTAGCCTGGCTATTTGAAATATGCCAAAAGGAAGTTCCTCTGTGGCTCATTCCTCAGGGTCTTTACGGTTAAATATATAGGCATAAGTTTAGTTCCTTCCCCAGATAAAATTATAGTGGAGTGCAGTTGCTACCATGACATATGTTCTAAACTAATGAACGCACAAACATTTACTAACCAATACCATCAATAATTCTGCAGTTATATATGCCTTGTCTTGAAAAACAACATCCATTTCTTACAATTACCAATTCAAGTTCAAGACAGCTCTATAGTGGAGCAGGTTCTGGTCTGTGAAAATCTTTCAGAATTAAAAAACAAGATCTCAGCACACTCAGGGACTGACCTTGAACAGATCAGCCTAGGAAGGTTATTTCTCCAGTGAGGTAAAGCTATCTCACAAGAAAAGTCACTGTTCTGCAAAGTTAAAAATTCCTTAAGCTAGTTGCCTGTAAATATTAACTTCTCACTGGGTTACTTTCCAATCTTCCAAGGCAGCCATTCCTCCCCTAGAGTAGCCTGGCTGGATTCCTCTGTAGTGTTCTCCTAGAGTTTTATTCCTTGTTGGCAAGGTCTTGTAACCCTTCAGGTCCTGCTATTGTGCAACCAACTCAAGTATCGCCCAGGCCTAACTGCACCCAATTGGTTATAGGATAACTGGTGAGCACAGCCCATAGGAAAGAAGGCCAGCAATCTTGTAGACCATAGGTAGGGGCTGTCAGCAAAGTCTCAACCTTCTGGGGCTTTGAGAGTGCACCCCATGACAAAAGGTGACAAAAATCTTAAATGTTAAAAATGAAGCACCATCCCCTTTTAACAAAGGTCCCACAAGATTATTCTCCAGGGCCCTCCCTGGCGGTGCAATGGGTTAAAGCACAGCACTATAAAGCTAGCCGCAGTCACTGCAGCACCAGTTTGATGCCCGCCCAGGAAAGGCACCCACATGGCGCAGCAGACAGCTCTCTTGACAGGCCCCTGCTCTCCTCAGCAGTGTACTTCGGCAGTCTGCCTGTTCTGCTCCCCACTCTGTCTCTGGTGAATCCTCTCACCACTCCCCACCCCCCAAGAACTCTGGCCTATACTCCAGTTCTTGTATGCATAAATAAATAATATTAAAAAAAAAAAGATCATTCTCCAGCCTTCCCTCTGGAGAACTGCCCAATTAGGGGCAGACAACCTTTGAGCTTTTCCAGTAACCAATTCAACAAGCTTCACCTCTACCCCAGTGTTCTTCTCGTAAACAGCTCTTAACTGTATTTCGAAAAGCAATCCCCACTAGCTTCCCTCCGCCCTGCCTCTCCCTATAAGGCACCTCCCCAGAATCAAGCAATCCCACCAAGCTGCGCTCCTTGACGATGCCCATCTCAACTCCCTTCAAGGGGTCGCAGCCAAAACTCTGTTCTTAAGGTTGTCATCGCTTGACCGCCCCCTCCAACCCCCCCTTTGACCATTAGACTATTATGTTATCACTCTCCCCTTCAGTCTGGGGACTCCCCTCCTCCCGTTGGGGCCCCGTCCAGCACAGTAAACAATGCTGTCAAAGCAGGATAACGCAGGGCGAGGCTTCCAAACTCCGCATTCCAGCCTCCTCCTGGTGTTCTAAAAGCAGCAAAACAAGTCATCGCGGGGTCCCAGGAGCGAATTACGCTCAACTTCCTTTCTAAGAAGGCCCGGGAGACGACTCCAACACCAAGTATTCGCGTGCAAAAACGCACCCTCTGCAAGAGGCAGAGGAAATACCGGGCGAGTGCAAGCCAAGTACAGACGGATTCGCCCAGGAGGCGAGGGTGGGGAGAAAACAGTCGAAGGCTTAAGCCTGCCACGAAGCGGGAACAAGGGCTTTCTCTTTCCGCGCGACGGTAGAGCCACGCCGCCCGCGTGGGCGCGCGCTGAATCGAGTTATGGGCAAGCGAGAAGGCGAAGTTAAGCTTCCCGAGAAAGTCTCACCGAGCTGGGCAGGTTGGGGTAGTGGGGTCGCCGGAGCGGGCCAGCGTGGACACGCCCTGAGTTAAAGGACCGCGGCGGGAGGCAGGGGACAGCGCGGGGGCCGGCGCGCTCGGAAGCCGGCTGCAGGCTCCGAGGGTGAGGGCCGCGCGGAGTCCCGGGCGCGGCGGGGCGGCCAGCGCTCACCTCCCGGCGTGGTGGAGAACAGCGTCCCCCCGGGCGTGGTGCAATAGTCATGAGGTAGCTGCGCGGCGTCGCTGATGGGCACGGTGCGGGTGGGGATGGCGCGGCTCTGGCTGGGCTGGTGGCCGCTGCCGGCGGACGAGGACATGGCTCTGGGCGCGGGTTCTCGGCTTTGTCCGGCGGGCGGGCAGGCGGGCGGCGGCGGCCGCGGCAGCTGGGGGCCCGGGCTGCTCTGGCTCCTCAGGCGGGAGGAAGGGCGGGCGGGGCTGGGCGCTCCGCTCGCTCCTCGCTCGCTTCCTCTCGCTCCCTCGTCCCGCTCCGCTCCCGCCGCCGCCCTCTCAGCCGCCGCCGCCGCCGCCGCCCGATCCTCCGGCCTCCGCCAGCAGCCTCAGCAGCAGCAGCAGCGGCAGCAGCGGCGACGACGACGACCGGAAGCGCGCGAGGGCGGGAGCCAGAGGGAGTTCGGGGAAGCGGGGCCGCCGGAGGTGACGTCGCCATGGGGGCGGAGGCGAGGTAGGGGCGGGGCCTAAGTGGAGAGGGGCGGGGCCTGAGCTGTAAGGGACTTAAAAGTCTCTGGCGCTGGCCGACCGGTGTTTGTGCTTAGTGTTCCTGAGTCCAGCGGAGGACAGACTGGAAAACTTACTTGATTTAAAGAAAAGAAAGAAAGAAATTGTCCGTTAACACTACTTTACTTGAGCCAACTTTTGTTCCTGTACATCTAAAAAAAGTGTGATTTTACATTTTGTTGCTTAAAATTAAGTATAGGCAATGTATACACGATGAGTCAAAAAAAATTGAGCAGGAAAATTTAGGATGTCACTTTCTCCTACTTTCCCAATTCCTGGCACCAGAACTACCTGAAACAATATATCGCGTATCCTTATCAGAGGTTTATAGCTTTAGCTGTTGCATTTTGATCACTGCTCCATTTTTAGTTTTTTTTTTTTTTTCATATGGCATGAGGTAAGGATCCAATTTCAGTCTTCTAAAAGAAGATATTCAGTTGACCTGACACCACTGGTTGAAAAGGCTATTCTTAGCACATTGAATTGTCATGTCCAAAACTTGTTTCTTAAACTGGTATTCTCTATGGAAATACATTCCCAGGTAAGGCACTCAAGATAATGAGGTCACTATAGATTAGCAGATATTTTTAGACTCAACCTGATAATAACAATCACAGCAACTAACATCCAAGGGTGATTACTATCTCCCACTCTTCCCTACCACTTTTTATACACCACTGCTATATATATTCCTAACAACAGCCCTCTGCAGTAGTCTTCAATTTTATATCCATTTTGGAGATGGGGAACTGAGCCTTAAAGAAGTTGAATAACTTGGTGTATTCATCATTTATGGCCGCATAACAAAATTACCCCCAAACAGCTTTAAAAAATACATACTTATTATATTTGGTTTTTGGTGTCAGGAATGTGAAAGCCACTTGCAGTGAAGATGTCTGCGAGGTCTTAATCATCTGAAGGTTTGACTAGGGCTGGAAGATTTGGTCCCAAATCTCTCATATGGCAGAGGCAGGAGGGCTGAGTTTCTCCTCACAGGTACTTCTCCAGAATGTTACTTGACTGACCTCAGGACAAGGCAGCTGCTTCTTCCAGAGTGTGGAACCAAGAGAGGAAATAAGCGCTATGCTACAGTTAATCTTCTGACCCAGCCTTGGAAGTCACATATCAGGCTGTCACTTGTGGCATATTATACTTATTAGAATCAAATCACTAAGAACCGCTGGTATTCTAGCAGAGGGTGACTTAGACTCCACCTCTTAAGGGTATCAGGGAATTTGTGGACATATCTTAAAACTGCCACTCTTGCCCAAAGTCACTATGATTGTAAATGTTTAACAGGAGAAGCCCAGTGTGCAAACACTGATAAACTCCTACTGCACCACACTTGTAACTATCCCTTGGCCAAAGCAAGCCACACAATCAAGCCAAACTCCATATGGAAAGTGACTAGAATCCATCTCTCAGGGACTATAGTTCACTGGAAGCACCAACATAACAGTCTGCCATGGCACAGAATCTTTGATATCCCTGAAATACTGTTTTTTCTGAAATTGTCCTTTGCATTTTGCATTGTCTCTATTTCCTTTAAATTTACTTTCTCTGCATGTTTTTAAGCCCCTACCTTTCAGGTTAGAAGGTTACCTGGATGAATCAGCCAGGAATGAATCCTGGCTGGACCTCCAGAAGTGACCCTTGGCATACTATGGAAGTGAATCTCCAGGAGAGATGTTGCTTGGACCAGTCAGTGAACTAGGGAATAAGTAGCTTCTATCCTAGCTACAGCCCTACACCCTGTCAGAGAGGGGAGCTTCTCAGATTATGGGCTTCAATGCCATACAGTGCCTCTTAGATCCATACAGCAACACTACTTTTCCCTCCTACTTAACTCAATTCGGAATTCAAGTCTTGTATGATGGCATGTGTTTGGTGCAACTGGAAATACATTTGGGAACTAGGTTGCAAGGAAAGGTGGAAAACACTGGTTTTTTTTTTTTTAGCTTTCCAGCCTCTGCAGTAGTAGAAGGCACACCAGCAGGAAGCTAGTAGAGGTATCCATGCACCTGCCACAATGTGAATGTCACAGTGTCTGTCCACAATCTCCACATCTAAAGTTACATGGTGTGGCATGTGGGTCGCCATTGTATATGTCAACTGTCATTGCCCCAAACATCCTTAAACCACTCGTGACATATTTACAAAAGCAGGTGGAGACTTGATTTGTCTTCCCATAGCAGATTCCCCACCTTTGCCTATGCAGACCATCAACTCATCAGTTAATGAGCCCCACTGTATGTAGAATCTTCTGAGGGAGGAGGAGGGCAGTAAACAAGACAGTCCAGTGGACCCTACAATCTAAGCTAGAATCTAATACTCTATTTGGGTATCCTTCCTGAACTTTCTTCTCCCCAGCCAGGTTGGGGTCCCTCCCTCTGAGCTCCCACAGCTCCCTGTGCCCTGTGGTCACCCACCTTGGGTGCGCGTTGTCTGCTCACTCCCTTGGTCCCTGCAAGATTACTAACTCTTTCAGGTTAAAGACTGGCTTTCTTCACCTCGCCTCCTGTGGGACCTGGCACAGACCCAATCTGTGGTCCATGTGTGTTGAGATGATGCTAGCATGCCTTTGTGGAGGCTGAGATAAAAGCATTAGACACAGTTGTGGGCAGAGAAGTCTGGGGTGACCAGATGCCTATTCAGATGAGACTTTTTTTTTTAAGATTTATTTATTTATGCACACAGAACTGGGGTACAGGCTAGAGGTGCAGGGGTGGTGAGAGGCTTCACCAGAGACACAGTGGGGAGCAGAACAGGCAGATGGATGAAGTACACTGCTGAGGGGAGCAGCGGGCAGGTCAGGAGAGGTCTGCCACGCCATGTGGGTCACCTCTGGGGCAGGCAGGGATCGAACTCATGAAGAAGTGGCTTTAGCTTCTCAGTGCTGTGCTTTAACCTGCTGCGCCACCAGGGAGGGCCCCAGATGAGACTTGCTTTTATCAATTTTCATGCATGCCTGTCAAGTGTGCATGCCAATGAATTTTCACAAATGTTTATACTCTTGTAAAGACCACCACACATAAGATATATCAATAGAACATTTCATAACCCCCCAAAGTTCCCTTGTACCACTTAGCAGTCAATACCCCCAGCCCTAGTGCCAGTCTCAGGCAATCACTGACCTGCTCTCTAGCACTGCATGTTAGCTCTGTCTTTTCTAGAACTATACACATGGAATCACACATTGTGTGCTATTTCATGTCTGACTTCACAAAGCATGATGTGGTGCTTGTATCAGCAGTCCATTCATTTTTGTGACTGAGTATCATTCCATTTATGGATGTACCACAATCTGTTTATCAGATGAGAATTTAAAAGAAAAGTATCTCTTTGCTTCCCTACAGGACTTACCATGGGGGACTCAGAGAGCCTCACATATACAGATCGGGTATTATCTATGAATAAGGTTGTGTAGAGAGTGGGGGATTGGGAGGTCGTTGGTGCACTTGTGATCCCAAAGACACAGTACCCCTAGATTCAGAACCAATGGACTGTAAAGTCTACCATCCCTGGGCAGAACTTTCTTTAACTTTATTAATATAACTGGAATTTCATAACGTAGAAGCAGCCCGGGTGTCCCCAGTCCAGGAGTGTCCTCCCTAGAGTATATTATTCCAGTGTCTAGCCACGTGGCTTCTCCAAACTCACTCCTTCTAACTCCCCAGCACACACCTAATACCTGTGTTCCATCCGGTTCTTTTTTCCCAGGGCCAGAGGGAGCTGGTCTCCACCCTCAGTAATGCAGCTGCCCACTTAGATCTGTATCATCACAAGGATAATCACCCCTTACCTTTTGGATCAAACTCTTCCACTTTACAAAGCACTTTTAGGCCATTATCTCTTTTAAGCGGAGCCACAGCCCTGTGATGGAGGCAGGCTGCTTGTTATTCTCATTTCACAGATAGAGAAAAGGAGACTCAAAGAGGGTCACACAGCCAGGACCCATGGACAGGGGCCGGTGCTCAAGCTGGCGATGGGCCACCTTCCATAGCCCTGCCCCGCTGGTCTCCTGCACTGTAAAGAGGGCAAGGTACCCCTTGGGCATCCACTCTTTATCATCACATCTGCTGAACTCCCAGGGGATGAACAGCATCCATTTCCCGAGTTCCTGAAATATAAACGAGGAAATGTGTTCAGAGGGTGATAACAATAACAGATAACTTTTATAGGCTGAGTCAGGTGCTGTACGAGGTCTTTCAAGGATCTTATCTCTGGTCCGCCTAACTGCCAAACGAGGTGGGGATTATTATGGCCACTTTACAGATGAGGAAACCACCCCAGAAACACTAGCTGGTTTAAGATTACCTGTTGTATCGCTAGAATTTTTCTGGTTTCTCACTGTGGCTGGGAACAGTTCACCATGCACAGGTATTGACATCAGACACACTTTGGTTCAAGTGCTGCCTCCCCCACCTGTTTGCTGCAGGACCATGAGCTCTGAGCCTGTTCAGAAAATCTGGGAAATGAGAGGAGGAAGCCCTCATTCACAGAGTGCTCTTCTGAGGATGAAATGTCAGGTCCAGCCAAGGTAGAGCCAATGGAATCATGATTAAGCACTCATCAGACCCAAGAAGATTCTAGCAGCTGATGAGGCTGGAGAAGAGGGGTGAGCAAGTGTGACTGTGGAACATTCCAGAGGGGCCAGAGCTCCAGGCTCAGCATTTCCTCCCTTGGAGGTCTTGTTGGGTAATGACAACAAAAGACTGTAGTTGTAGACTTCAGAAAATGAGGTGTGGCTCAGACATGATAAAGACCTCCCTGAAGTCAGCTTGTTATCTGTCTTATTACAGTCCAACACCAGTCGTTCCTGTCTTTCGCCCTTTCCATGCCAATATTTAGTAGAAGATTCTTTCTGGGTGCAGCCCTTTCTCTATTAGCACTGGCCTGCAGAGAGGAAGTGGATAGTGTACTTAAAGCCACACCCACCGGTGCAGGTGCTGGCTCCCAGAGCTTGAGCTCCGAGCAGAGAGAGCACTTTTGAAATGGAAATGTACTGTCAGGAGCAGTGCAGGGTGTGCAGGGTGTGCCACACCCTGTGCTGGCCACAGCCAAAGGCAAGGCACACCTTGTACAGAGTGTGGGAGCCAAGGGTGGTGCTCCCAAATTAAGGCAAGAAGTGCTCTGCCATCAGGGGCTTCCACTTTCTCTTGTTGGAGTCCAGGGTTTTCAGTGGGAATCATTTTATGAGGACTGGGTGGCACTGTTGCATTCAGTATGGTAGACTCTAACTCAGTTACTGGAGATTCTCCATGAAGCCTCTGGACAAGCTACCTGGCTCCCATCTAATTCATCCAGAAATAGCCATTCGGTCTCTTGTACGGCCCCAGCTCTTGGTTCAGGGGTGAACAAGAATAGTCTTCACGGAGCTTCCATCTAGCCATGGGATTCAGTTGTCTTGGTGACAATTTCCTGAATCCAAGTTTCTTGGCTGGATATACATGAGTTTATTCATCTGCCTAGAGTGAATTAGGCTCAAAAGCCCTGGGAGAGCAATGGACTGGCAGTGTATGTTGGATTGCATCTTTTCTACTTTCTCTTCCTTGGCTTTCCACTCCTCTTTGAGTCTTAAAGAAAACCAACTATAGGCCCTCCCTGGTGGCACAACAGGTTAAAGCAAGCACTATGAAGCTATCTGCAGCCACTGCAGCACGAATTCAAGTCCCAGCCAGGGAGCTGACCCACATGGCACAGCAGACCTCTCTTGACCCACCCACTGCTCCCCTCAGCAGTCTATTTCAGTAGATATGCCTCTTCTGCTCCCCACTCTATTTGGTGAGTCTTCTCACCATCCCCCTCCCCTCTGGCCTACAACCCAGTTCTGTATACTTAAATAAATAAATCTAAGAAAACTAAAAAGAAAGCCAGTTATGATTTGACCTCATGTCCAGCTCCGTTTCTGTGCTCTTTTTCCTCATCAAATGGACCATGCTCCTTCCCACCACAGGGAATCCACTTTGCACATGCCAATCCACTTACCTGTAGTTCTCTGTGTAGAACGGACATCAAGATGACCTTTGTAATCCTCACCTCCTTGATGGGATGGGACTTGTGATCTGCTGCTAACCAAAGGAATATGGCATCAGTGAATAAGTGTCACTCCAGGGGTGATGTTATATAAGGCTCCATCCTGCTAAGAAATTCACTCTAGAATCCCTCCACCTCTCTCTTTTTTGCTGGTTTTGCATAATAAGCAGCCACGAGTCCTACCATCATGAGGAAATGAATCCTGCCAATAACTTGAATCTGGAAGTGGACAACCCATCCCCAGTCAGGCCTCCATGTGAGAATGCAGCCCTGCGTTACACCTTAATCGCAGCCTCGCCGTGGATCCAGTGCATGTGCAAGAACACATTTTTAATTATTTTCTTTTTATAACCAAAAGGTAAGGTTTATATGAAAAGGGAAAGAAGAGTAAAGGATGCTGGCTGAGACATAAGCAGGGAGAAAGAGCTATCCCCAAAAGGGACAGGTTTGTTAAAAGAGAGGTCTGCATAGTCACAGGTGGCAGCCTTGGGGAAGCAACTGTTCCTCATGAAATGAACCACGCTTACTTGGGAGAGGAGAGCTGCCTCTGCTACTCTGCAAAGAGAAAGGGTCATTAACAACCCACTAACCCCCACAACTCCAGAGTCATCCAGGTCAGTGATGAAAAACACCTACATAGTCTCAGCTAGGCAGGGGAGCTGCTGCTCGTATTTTTTATATGCAGCACAGAAAACCAATGTATTTCCTAATATTCACCTAGTTAGCTTCTGCTCACCCCTTATAATTCCCATCCCACCCAGATGACTTTTCTCAGGGCAGACTTCCCTAGGCTCTCTGCCAAGCCCTGATCTCCCTGTGAAGGAACTCTGTGCCCTTCTTCCATGTGACCTGTGCATTTATAATTGTGTGGTTATTTTAATCGATATCTGTCCTCCACCAAACATAAGTTCTGTGATAGCATCCAACTATGTTTTCATTTTCCCCAAGGACATTGCCCAGCCCATGTAAGTACTCAGTAAATATCTGATGAGTAAATAGCTTGCAGGAGCTTCAGGGTGAGGAGGAGTGCAGTGATAAACAGGGATTGTTCAGTAGTTGGAGGCTAAAAATGACTTGGGGGATATTGGGTAATAGAGTCCTAAAAACCCACTTACATTGTGACATATCTGGACTGAAGCTAAAACTGTATTTTGGGGACACCACGATGGACATGCTGTATGTCCAATCAGTAGTTAAACAGACATAATGAATGACCTCTGCTTCTTTTACATTTACATGCGTCTACCTGTTTCCAAGGTCTTTTTATTCCAACCTCCCTTGGAGGGCCTCAAAGGCTACAATGTTTCTGGGTCTCTACCTGTATTTAAAAAAAAAAAAAGGAAAAGGTAAAGATGCAATAGAAGCACTGAGGAAATGGCTTTTGCTATTTCTAAAGCTGCATACACAAGAGACGACTCTGGTAATCTGGGTGTGGGGTGTGAGGTGGAGTGACCCAAAGGTGGTATATTGGTGACCACAGAGGTGTTTTATTTGGCTTACATATTCAAAATTCTTTAATGAGTTTTCAACATTAAAACTCCTGGAGGGGCCTTCCCTGGTGGCGCATCAGGTTAAAGCACAGCACTAAGAAGCTAAAGCCACTGCTCCCCTCAGCAGTGTACTTGGTCAGCTGGCCTGTTCTGCTCCCCACTCTGTCTCTGGTGAATCCTCTCACTGCCCCTGCTCTTCTGGCCTGTACCCCAGTTCTGTATGCATGAATAAATAAATCTTAAAAAAAAAATCTCCTGGAGATAATCAATATAGAAAAAGGTCTAGAATTTCTGAAAAATCAGATTTAGCAATGCCTGGCTCATAGCACAGCACCAAGACTGGGAGCTGGTGTATAGGGGCCCTGTTAGGTGGCACAGACTGCACAGCCTATACCTGCCTGCCTTCACCTGCCTGGACTCCAGGAGCACCTGAGTCCACCTACCCAGTCCGCTTAGGAACCCAGATGTTCCTAAGTATTCACCCAACCTGTGATTTGAGGCTCTGATCACACGCTGCATAGTGAGGTTTTAGTGTGCAATGGATCACACACAAGACATTTCTCTAGCGCATGTGCACAGTAGGCAATCCCGCCTAGGTGTGTGCAAGCATACAATATGAGGTGCGCTCAAATGATGAAATCACCTAGTAACACATTCCTCAGTTCGTATCCCTGCTAAGTGATGCTTGACTATATGGATCCAGCAAGCACTATATTCAGGTAATTCCCTTGACATTTCTTTTAGGTTCCCCCCATCTGACCGATTCTCATAAACTCACCTTCCCTTGTCTCCTCAGTAAGAGGTGTATTCCTGACTGCATCTGTTCTCTGCCTCTCCTCCCATTTCCGTCTCCTGTCCACCCCAATCATCTTCCTGTTCCTAGTACTTTTCTGACTCAGGTCGTTAGCCTTCTCCGAGGCCCACTCCATTCCAATGCTGTTGCTTTAATATTTTTCTCAGGCATGGCAGCTAAGAGTATGTGTCTGTCTTAGCAGTGCTCTGGAAGTTCACATGCTCTTAGAATAAACCATGAGAAGAGAGATGAGTGGCTGTACTTATAGAAGATGCAGATGAACTAAAGCCAGTCTGGGGAGATGCTGGCCAAGTTAGGGATGCCTCCAGCTGCATGGAATACAAGAGTTCCCTCAAAGCTTGAGTCAAAGTTATACATGCGGTCTTCCCCAGGATATGTGGGCAGGGATATGATGCCTTGAAGGTGCTGTGTAATGCTGGGTAAAACTCTCCCTCTCTGCAACCTCCACCTTCTTTACCTGTTTATTCCCAGGGGTGCCACAAAAGTGGCAACCCTTGTGGATGAAGTCAGATAGACAGAAGTTGAATTCTAATACTGCTATGTAAAAGCCATGAGAGTCTGGGCAAGTCATTTAGTCTGTGCTCCATGTTCACATGCTTAAAATGGAGCTGACATGAGCTTGGCAGTGCACTCATAAGGTTGTCTTCTGCAGTGAGAAAATGCATGTCAATTGTGGATCATAGCCTGGCACAAGGTGACTCAACAAGAGGTAGGTGTTGGCATTGTTACTGACACCCATGTGGATAGCTCACACTCATCTCAAATACAATATTGGACATGCTGAACTCTTGGTCACCCCTATCCCCAAACCTGTTTCTTTCTGTGGCTTGATCATGGCACCGCCCAGGAATGGCTCAAGCCAGAAGCTAGGGTGTTAACCTTGACACCTCTCTTTCAGTGTCCAAATTCAATCCATTGGCACGTCCTGGTGATTCTGCCTCCTGACTGTCCTATGTCCTTGTGCTTCTTGCACCGTCATCTTTCCTCTGGGAGACTGGATCCCATTCTCCTATCTGTTCTTCTCAAGCTATTCTTGGCACCCTTTAACCCTCCCTCTGGCAATCCCTCTGGCAGGCAGAGGGATGTTACAATACAAGTCAGATCTTGTCATCCCCTGTTCAAAAGCTTTCATACTTCTAATTGCATGTAGAACATAAGACTACCAAGACCAGTGAGCGCCACAGGACCCCTGCTCACTCCACTCTCATCCCACACCCTCTCTCCCACCCATACCAACCTCATAGAGCTTCCACTGTTCATTGAAAACACCAGCTCTTCACATTCCAGTGCCTCTGTGTGTGCTGGCACCTGCCTCTCACTTATCTTGGTCTTGGTCACTCATTCTCCTTCTTCAGGTCTCAACCTGAACGTGATTTCCATGAAGAGGCCTTCCTGTTACTCCTGCTCCCCGAACTTTTCCCCAAAACCTTTTATTTATTTTTTAAAAGATTTATTTATTTATGCATACAGAACTGGGGTACAGGTCAAAGGCGCATGTGTGGTGAGAGGATTCACCAGAGACTGAGTGGGGGGCAGAACAGGTAGATTGACAAAGTACACTGCTGAGGGGAGCAGCAGGTAAAACAGGAGAGGTCTGCTGCACCATGTGGGTCACCTCCTTGGTGAGGATAGAACTTGTGCTGAAGTGGCTGTGGCTAGCTTCAGTGTGCTGCACTTTAACCCACTGAGTCAACAGGGAGGGCACCCCCAAGGCTCTTTATACAAACTCTGATAAGGATGTATTGTTATGTTCTTTTGCTGTCTGTCTCTAGTATAACAAATTAGATCCCCAGGAAAGTAGGAAACTTATTTTTCCTGCTAGACAGTGAATCTATAACACCTAATATACTAACTGGGGCAAAGTGCACATAAAATTTAAAAAATTAATAAAAGAATTAGTTAACACCACAAAACATCTCTGGATGTCAATAGATATGCTATATGAACCTAGAGTAAGCATAAGAATTTGTTTCAGTGAGCACCTATGCTGGGTTGGTTTGTCCAGATAAATCACCTTGGAGGGGCAGTAAGCACCCATTTATCCACCCACTTACCCAGGAAGCCATTCACTCATCTACCCATCCATTTACTCATGCATCTACCCACTTTCCTGTGGTCCATTTCATCATCTCATCTAATGTTAATCAAACATCTCTATACACATTGATACAAGATGCCGAAAGTTGAAAAGAACTTAGAGATCATTGAGTAAAATGGCTCAAAAGCATTTTGGACTTTGATTAGAGCAAAATTTGAATAAAAACACATGCATTTGAATAAAAAAAGTACATATTTATGGCATGATCCTGGATATAACATTTGTATAAAACAAAAGATTTATTAAATAAGGTTTTCACTTATGTGTGAATTTATTCTATTCTCTTCTCTTCTACTCTACTCTATTCTATTCTATTCTTTTTTTTTTTTTTTAAAGATTTATTTATTTATTTGTACAGAACTGGGATACAGGCCAGAGATGTGCAGGGTGAGAGGATTCACCAGAGACAGAGCGGGTTACAGAACAGGCAGATCGACGAAGCACACTGCTGAGGGGAGCAGCGGGCGGGTCAGGAGAGGTCTGCC